ATGAATAGGCTGTTTGTTAAATCACTTGTGATTCCATCACAATAAATTACGAACGAGTTCCAAACTAAAACCCTTCCAAGCATCAACTCTGGGATCCAGGATTTCCCAATCTTCACATGCTTTCGCATAATTTTCGCTCACCTTGGACATAATTGTTAGTCCTCTTTAGTTCCTCGACCGTATCTGTTAGCTTAACGTGGTGGTTAGGCTTGCATATTGTAACGACTCCATCGAATGATATTGTCTAGAACACTTACTTCTTTAAAACTCACCATATCAAGCAGGTAAGATGGGGAATGGAAACTTAAAGGCCAAGTCCTGATGCCGATTATACAGGCGTGTGACAATAATATGGTGTTTCTTTCCGACAACCTGCGTCTATAACGACGCTGCCTTTTCACAATAGAAAGGAGTTTAAAAAAGTCGACGATGAAAGTGCCATACCTCATGGGTTTCCGTTGTCTGCAGTAAAGCCCTTTGAAATACAGAGCTAACATGATCGAAAAATTACCACAATGAAGCTATGTGACCAATCTCAAACGATTGCTCCCTGGTCTGTGAGGCCATGTTTCCAGGGTGGTAGGACTACTAATAAAAGTTTCCTTTTCAAGTCGCAAAAAGAAATATTAAATTCCAAGCAATGTTATCCCAGAAATTCTGCTTCAAACTACTCACTAGAGCTTTTAATGTCCGGACCGTACATCAACTTGAACAATGTCGCACAACCTGAGACCCTAGAACCTCGTGACATCGATGCAGTTTCCGAAACACGTATACATGACCCTATTGTGGTTCATTCACCTGATTTTACTGGCCAGTATGGGAAACCAACGCGATATACCCTTCGTGTATTTAGAGTAAGTATAGCACTAAGTTAGAAACTTGGACAGGGAATTCTTGTCGCCAATTAATTATGTACTGTCCGTCTCAATGGTACAAAAACAACTTAAGATAGAGACACGCGTCACTGTCTCTTTATCGTTTCTGCCAGTACCACCACTAAATGTAGCTCAGATAGAGTAGACGACGAGTCTTACAAGAAAATTTATGACATTCAAAAAGTTAGAGCCTTAGATGCAGTAGTCGTAACAGGCGATTTTTAAAGCCCAAGTTGATTGGCTGAGTCAAACTCAAAAACATTTTAATGGATCTTATGGAGTCCCAGCCTAACGATAACCGCCTGCTGCAATTTCGCTCAATCAATTATTCCTAACAGGTAAAAACTTTAAGCATAAGTGAAGAAATTGTCTAACATGGCGACTCCCAACATCAACATAACAAAGGATACAGAGAGATCGTATCACCACCAGCCATTGTTGAAGAAGCTCAGTAGGCGACTGCTGCTCTCACTGAAACACATGCTTGAACTCTGACCCCATCCAAGTGAGAGCATGTATTCCTATACGTTTTGCAAGACGTAGGGAATGCACAGCAAGAAGATGCCTTAGATATCAATTCGAATATGGAAAGGGGAAGGATACATTCATGAAAGAATTAGCTAGGAACTTAGTCGATCGTAGAGAAACAGTTCATTCTGAAAAAGCTTAAGAAAATAGGAGCTGTAAATACCGTATTGACATTCGCTAACAGCAACGACAACTCAAGCATAAACCAACAAAAACCTACACAGCGATCGTTAGTGGATATTGAAAGGAAAAGAAAGTGGCAACAGGTAACAACATTCAATTCTACGGTGAGACTATATTTTATGGACGGACCAATCAGATTCATGATAACAGGTCTTAGATTTTGACGTAAAATTCACTTATCCATAGAGTCTTGGCATTATAGCTGATGTCAGTTCGTGATGAAAACCCTATATCTGATTCCTAATACTAGCCACCTACTGTAAATATTAATCCTAATTCCCCACGCTAGTTTATAACCCTCATTTAGCCGTAGTATGTAGGTGGACATTCTCAAGGTCTCTTTAGCGTCGCTCAAAGGTTGCCCATGAATTATAGTCTCACCAATTCTACCCTAACACCTACATCAGGTCTGCTACGTAGTATACATACGTAGGATAAAAATTTATGAAGATAGGTGCCTTCGAAGCATTCCTTTCGTTTTGTGTGACGACCGTATAAGCAATGTTGAAATCAGGCAAAGCTACTTGGCAAAGGTAGTAAATTGGTTGATGAGATAGTGAATCTCCGTCAACTGTGTTGGTTGCGACATGTCCAAAAGACTGCCTATCCCGACAAGTGATGCTCATTAGTGCAGAAATAGATTGAAAGAAAGCTAGGGACGCTGAAACCAAAATTAGCATCAATTCATGACGTCACTGACTGTAGGTAGGTTCAGACTACCTGGTTAGCGTTCGCGTGATAACCGCGACCAAGGGTTACAGAATCTGGATGATATGGCTCGGAATAGTTCACAATGATGCAGATGCACTCGCTCTTTTTCCTTGAAATCTTCAAATTCATGATCCCTCTTTCCACATTCTTTTTAAATCACATTCCCATAGTTTAGTCCTCATTCTTAATACCACTACTATATAGTTTGGATCCTTTTTTATTTTCATCTAGTGTTAATCACTTATGGAAACTTGGGCCAGAGCACACCTGTTGATGATGACTGTCTGTCTAGGTATCTCTTAAGCTATATTTCACGAAGATATGACAAATTGGTTTGAAAATTACTACACTATTTTTAACATCTATCCAGCCGTTCAGTAATATTATGACGACGTGGCCCCTCTAATTAATTATGTTTGGTATCATAAAATTGTTTAGCAATGATATACCTAATTATCTAGAATCCATGACTAGTTTAAAAAACCGATAATCTACTTCGAATCGAGAAGTCAATATTACTTTTAATTAAACCATCCAAAGAATAACAGAATCTGAGACTATTATAATGAATATCACAGTCGGATACACTCTGTCAGTCCCCAGCCACTTTGAACGTCATCCAGTCTAATGAACGGATAGGTTTTAGACAGGGTGGAGGCAACCAGGTTAGTTGTGAAGTAAGTCTGTACAGTCATCGAGTATTGTCCTGAACCATGTAGAGTGATTCAAGCTTTCCAAATGAGGTTTTGGATGTAAAGTTAATCAATGGTTGGATATTTTAGGTGGTATTTCTGAAAACAGCGTTAAATTTTAGGCTGAAAAATTGTTAAGATCTGAAATAGTTTGCCCAAATATATAAAGTGAAATAAACAATACCACAGTAACCGACCGCCCATATAATACTTTTAACAAAAGGAAAATAGTCATTAGCATTCTGAATTTCGAACAAAATTTCGTCATGGGAAATTAGACACTGCGAAAGACACTTTTACTATTCTATTAACAAAGGCAATCAACAAACGTCAAATCCATGCCTTGGATGAACGTAAATTAGGTATCATCAAAACCACTAACAATAACAATGTAGAGAAGAGGCGAGACCAAAAATATGAAATGTACATATATTTTACGTTACTACGAGTAACAAAGTGCTATGTAATACTTAGTGGATGAAGTCTAAAACAAGAAAAAACACTTTACGTTGGGTGAAATGAATCAAAATCATGTTATGTACTCAAATAATGAATAGTTGGAGCGAGAGAAACCAAATGATCTAGTTCATTCCAATTCTACTGGTTTGTCCCAGTTAAACTTTTGTCCCGGGACGACACCAACCGACTTGGATAGAGCATATGGATGTTTAGACCTGAAAAATGAAGTACGATATAATTTTACCTATTTACTTGTGACATATCAGCCACAGGAAGTAAACTTAAACTAAAAGAAAAATGAGATTGATAGACATAAGTGTACGGAAGATTGAGAGTGCAGTTCATAGCACAGTAGATAGTTGTCCGTAGATAGCACAAATGACAAAAACGCCTTAATAATCATCATAGTGACAGTGAAATACATGTCAGTTGCCAAAATCTTCAACTAATAAATTCAGCCGAGACGAATATACTGCCCATAAGATCAACAGTTTCACCACTGAGGACTTGTGGCACCCAATTTACCAACCCATTACTAATCACAATACGCCCTGAAAAGTGAAATGTTTACGGAACAATGTGTCACAGTTCTTACGTTATTTCCGAATGATACAAAAGTTCTTTAGCACTACAAATTATACCTTTTCCTCTTAATGAGTATGTACTGTGCACATAAGCGACAGCTTGGAACAGTAACCATTCAAGTAATGTTTAAGTTAGTTAACATACTAAATTACGAATCCGCTGAATATCTAGAAATAATTGGCGCCTACACCATGAATTTATCACGACTAAAAGCGACTACTTCTGGACTACACGAAAATACCCCTCTCGTCACAAAAACATACACTATGGATTTTACACTAGATCTAAATGAAATGTTCTACCGTAAATAGTGGGCCCAACAAAAAAGGTTCAAATACAGTGAATCACTAGAGGGAATTATGGGAAGCTATTTAATGTTCAGTTCTAGATACTTAGGAAGATGGTGTAAACTACACATAAAAATAACACTGAAGCGTGAGGTTACTGCATTTTAAGCATATAAAGAACTACACTTAATGACTTAATTATAGTAACAACTAAACTGTCTCTAGTAGCTCAAGTACATAGTGTTCATCATCATATGTATAATTAATCGTTTTTAAAATATATTGAGTAACCCTGCTTAATGAGCGAGAAAACGTCAATTAATGAATCACCTAATCCCATGTATTTTTGCATCGTAACTAACACAAACATCTACATTAGTCAGTATCATCATGTAAAAAATTATTCGAGAGGCTCATGATAGGTTGGCGGTTAGAGAACCTGACTTCCAACGACGAGCTATAAGTTTGACATTCCTCTCCATCTACTTTTATTTGATCAGACTTGTAGCATCGATAATCACAAAGTTAGAATTAAGTCCTAACGCACAAAAATGTACTTGGGTACTGAGTTGCGCTACTTTGCTATTTTCCGCGTCATCCAAAAGTCACCAAGTTATTTTATTAATATTAAATATCCCTCTAAGACAGAAGAGAGACCAACAAACCGTTAGGTAACCTCCTTGTACCAATATCTATGTGTTAAAATAATAACAAATAAATAAGGTAACCCAATAATTTGTAATCCAGATGAGTCTGGAAAATACATATTAGCGACTAGGAAGTATCCGATAAAACTCGAATGCAGCTATCTTCGTTTCCAATACATGAATGCATACACAGGAATGAGAAGTGATTGAATCTTTTAGTAAGGAATGACCTGCGTGCACAGTTTAGTGGTATTTGAACTAGTTATCATGGGTAGAATCCATTGACTGAGTCTCCATTTCGCAATAAGGACGATTCTAGACTATCAATTACTAGTTCAGAGTAGCTACACTTAATTGATGTTAAAAATGTTCCTACGAACGATATTGATAAGAATAATCAAAAATATATGAAAGTAATGTGAAAGACATCTCAACTTATAAACTCAATTTTAAAACTAATCTGAATGCATCACACCGAGTGGATTTAATTTGGCAATAATCGACAGCTTAAAAAAGTGCAGACACTTGGTGATAAGATGGATAATTGCAGCACGAATTTTCACTAGAGCCAGGAAGGTGACTGAAACGAAAGAACTTAGAATTACAGACAATATAAATTAGGGTCCAAGTTAGCTATTACAAGGTTAATAATTATTAAGACAATCAGATTACGAAATCTGCCGAATTAAATGTTACGTGGCTGTTAGTTTAACGCCTCACCAGCAGCCTGCGTTGTACATGATGTTGAGCATCTTGTGTCAGAGTTCAACCACTTGAGAGTGTTAATTAAATTCTCTAGACGGTTGGCAACCAAATATAGATGTAAGTAGCAAAATGATGAAACTCACTCTGACCCAGCTTCAAGCCTTTTCAGGCCAGAAACATAAATATCAACAGGTTTCTTAACTTCGCGTCGCCCATCTCGAGCAAAGTAATCATTATGTGATATCTTGTCATTTATGCCATTGGGAAGATAAGCAGGTGGTTGAGTCCGTTTAGAGCATTGTTCAGCATATCTAAGAGAATTATTATATTCCCTTCCAATAAGGAAGTCCCGGACATGAGCCATAAAATAAGTCAACCGATCCCCACCTTTGATCGACATTTATAGGAGTACAGTTGGAAAGTACACAATAACAGTAAATCCCGCCCAGCCCCCCTCAAGGTCTAATAGCCTTGAACATCTGAATTTATGGCGGGTGTTCACATTCGAAAAGCAATTTAGAGCCCAACATTTATCATGTTACAGAAGTTCTACTAGTTTAATAGATAAGTGCCGAAGACAAAAACGTAACTCCCACCCAAAATTTAAATTCAAACATTCAAAACTACCTAAGCATTTCTCTCACGCAAAAGCCATTGTAACGTATCCCCACTTGCAGGGTGAAAAAAAACAAATAGAGTGAAGGTTAAGGCCTGAATGGAAGCACTTAGTGAGAACCACGATTATAAGTGAAACACTAAACCAGTAAGTGAACGGGGAAATTTATGAAAAAGCTGTACAACACACTTGGAATAAACGTCAAAAGGAAGGACTTAAATTACGAACATTTATCCTATTCCCGATGACGTATGTGTAATTTAGCATTGTTTTCTGATATTCGCACACTCAATGGATCTTTTATTACCATAAAATTCTTAAAATTGTCACAAACAGTAAAAATGATATTCCGTTTCATCTTAGTGGGACTTTCATCATCCTAGCTGCTCAGCAGACGTTTCTTAATTAAAAATGAATTTCAGAGTCGTCGGACGAAATTCGAAATGTTACAAAATCAAGGTTCTGTGTCTCTAAAAACAAGCTACGCCGAAAATGGCAAAATCGAAAGTCAAATGAATCTTGACGTATGATTGATGTCATTTAGGTGTACATTTGGTTTTGAGAGAAAATCACAAAGGAAAGAACTGGTTCAGAGACCAACAGAACTCTCTCTTTTGAACGTCGACTTGACCTCAGTTGCTTTACTATTAATCGATATTTCACGCTAGCATCGAACTCGGAGAATATGCCCATAAATCTTTCAGGATGATACATTGTCATCTGAGTAGTCGGCAATGTTATACGCTTTTGAGCCACAAGAAGCATCATCATAAGAAATGGATCTCCATGGGAACCCTGGACAATATTGAAGAAAGGAAGAACACGAAGGCAGCAATTAACAACAGCCGAACAAGAACAGAGAAAGTCAAGGTACAAGCTGAATATACAGAAACAAACAAGCAAGCGATGAGGATCATTAGAGTTGACAAGTAGAAATACGTGGAAGACCTAGCATGAACAGTGGAAAAAGCTGAAAGCGAAGGAAATATCAGACCAATATATGACACAACGAAGAAACTGGTAAGGAAATACAGCGAACCAGATAGACCGGTCAATGACAAAGAATGAAAGCCAATCACTGAGGTTCAAGAATAGAGGAACGGATGAGTAGAACACTTTGAGGAACTCTTAAATAGGCTAGCGCCACTGAATCCAATATCAATAGGCTGGATTCCGTAAGGATTGATCGTGCACAGACCAAATCATGACACTAAGGATCATCGTTGAGCGGTCAATTGAATGAAGCTCCCCACTACACATTAACTTCCTTGATTCTAAGAAGGCTTTTGACAGCATGGATAAGAGAACCTTATGGAACCTTCCTCGACACTATGGGGTACCTGAGAAAATTTTCAACGTCATATGGAATTCAAACGATGGACTACACTGCACAGTGGTGCATAGATGACAGCTGATAGACACGTTCCAAGTGAGGACTGGGGCTGCTTACTTTTTCCCTTTCTTTCTCTTCTGGTGGTTGGCTGGTTTATGAAGACCTACATATCTGAGGGGAGGCATGAAATATAATATATAGCGTGGATGTAATGAGACTATTTGGCGTTTGCGGATGGCTCAGCTCTTCTATCCTATACACAGCGAGAAATACAAATGAAGATAGCTAACATGGCAGAGGCCTCTGTATCAGTAGGCCTCAACATTCACAAGTTTAAATGTGAGTTGCTCAAATACAACACGCAGAACACCAACCCACACTTGATGAAGGGGCTCTGGAAGAAGTGGAAATGTTCACGTACCTGAGCAGTATCATCAATGAACAAAGGAGATCCGATGCAGACGTCTAAGCAATGATCGGTAAAGTAAGGGCTGCAGTCCTTCAGCTGAAGGACATATGGGATTCAAAACAACTGTCAACCAATATCAAAGTGAGAATCTTTAATACGAACGTCAAGATACTTCTATTGTATGAATCTGAAACTTGAAGAACTACCACAACTATCATTAAACATATACAAGTATTCATAAACAATTGTCTACGCAAGATACTGAATGTCCGTTGGCCAGATACCTTCAACAAAAGCCTACTGTGGCAGAGTACAATCCGACTTCAAGTTGAAGAGGAAATTAGGAAGACATTGGAAGTGGATAGAACATACATTTCTGAAATCACCAAACTGTATCACGGGGCAAGCACTTACTTGGAATCCTGAAGGGAAACGGAAAAGTGAGAGAATAAAAAACACAGTGTTGGGAGTTGGAAGCAGATATGAAAAAGATCAATAGAGACTGGAAAGAAGTGTTAAGGATTGCCCAGAACTGAGTTAGATGGAGATTGCCGATGAGAAACTGATGCTCCCCTATGAGAGATAACAGGCGTAAGTATGTGAGTAGTCGACGGATACTCTTTGGCCCACAAACTCTGAATTCTCCATAGTTATGTGTACTTTACAAGATTTCTTCAAGCTCTGACGATTTTTGTTTTAACCTGCAGCTACATGAATGTTCCGTTACATTAAAGAATAATTTGCGGCGATATACTGTATCTCATGTATTTACCCCGCTGTCATTCAGCCAAAGTAAGTTATCTGTGAATTGTAGGGGCCCAGCTATCATCACGATTCGCAAAACAGGATCAACATAACTGACATTTAACTAAAAGCACACCAATCTAACCACTGAACTAGTTAGAAGCCTATCAGTTATAACACAGGTATCTGGCCTCGCAACGGCGGTTGGTAGAAATTTATTCGACCCTTATATGTAATCCTACATGAAAGCAAAAATTCATTCTCTCCACGATGTTGAAGTTCGACGGATGGTCCGAACCAGTGTCTTCCGAAACTCTCTAACACGTCTTGTGACAAAATCCATTAGCGGAAAGTGCGAGAAACACCACTAAGTCAGAGAAGACTTTGATTGCAAATCCGACTGAACTGTATCTCCGATTGTGCATTGTTTTTATATTATACGAATTCAGATTATTCCTCCCCACTTGTTGCTTTTGTTTCATTTGTTTTCATGATGTATGAAGAGAAACAACAATATTGCATTAGTCCATATTCAAAAAAACTACCGGTAACTATCCATAGGTGTGTGTCATTCAACTCTCAGAAGTAATAATATTGCAAAATGTAAAATAACGTTTTGAGATAAACTCTACAAACAGTGTTTTTTCATGTGTTCAATGTCAATTTCAGCCATAGTGGAGGTCAAGTAAACCTCGTAACATTGTAGCAGACCTTGTAGTTGCAAATGATAGTTCTCCCGATAAAATATGGATACAAAATAATCCTTAGAAAAGTAGGGAAGCGCAGAAGCTCAATGTTCGGTGTGCATCATAGATTTATGGTCGCTGCTATGAACTGATTCATGCTACTAGATTAATAAACCTGTTCAAATATGCCTGACTCGGCCAGACGTTACTCACTGATTGATATGGTCTTATTGAGAAGCCACATCATCCTCTATCCTGAGCTGTCCTAACCTGATAGTCAGAGCATGCTACTTTTAAGGGACCCTGAAGGATCAAAGCAATGTTGCCGACGAAATAACATTATTAATGTATTGACGAAAGAGTTAAGTACGATTATCACCTCTGGATGACTAGGCTATGCAGCTTACATCATGTACCCACTGTAGATCACCAATGTAGATGTTCTATGTCGGAATGATTGGAGGCCTACCCGAGTTAGACGTGAATGGCGTGACGAACCAACTAACGTCGAAGTCACACCTCGTGGTCAGCACCTTACGTGGACTACCCCCATTGACGTATCAAGGTACTATAGATGCTTTGAAGACTGTACAACACAAAGGAAGTTACTACAGAAATATATTAGTTAAAGTAGATACAAGCGAAAGTAAGACCAGTGCCGCACGGGTCAGTCCATGGTATACGATTAACTAATGCGCGTTGCTTGTACATGACCTTGGCAGAAAGCGATGATCTGTTCGACATTCAGTGATCCAACAGCCGGATGATTTGGCTAGGGCTCAGTGACATTTCACTGGCCCTACACCACGTTAACTTTGACTGGCCTTCATCACCATTTATCGACCATTCAAAGTTAAATGATAAAACTTCCAAGGGTGAATACATTCAGCTTGAATTATCACTTTTCCCGGGGTTTAGTGTTATTCCGTCACCTTTAAAAAGGTAAAAACACTTAATGTAAATATTAAGTGTAACGAATGTACCGAAATTCATTTGAAAGCAGTAATTTCCGGGAGAATATTTCGTGATAAGTGCTTGAAAGCTCTCCCATAATATGCTGGTCACGTTTTCAGAGTTCCACTGATATCAGTAGTCCATGTGTTGTATGAGAAGGATCACTGAATATTTCATTTTGAGTCTCATATAAACAGGCGGGACCAATCTTGGAAATTCAGTCAGCAACTTTATTTGAGCATACATATGACTTCATTCAATCTATAGGTTCATAGACATTGAGTTGAACGTTATGGGGCAGTAGATTTTTAACTCAGAAGCTTATGACACCGAATCAGTCGGAGACGCAATTTTATGGTAATTCGTTTTCAGGTGCCATTTTAATTCAAAATCAACTTTAGTGCAGGGTGTTGAGATTACTAGTATTTTATCAGTGATGTTGAGTGAGTGTTGACTAGCTGTTGGTTGGTCACCCATGCTTACGATGTAGTAAGACACAAATGTTCTACATGACAGAAGTCTGTAATTATACTATCATGAGTATTATGAATATTCCCTCAAAATATATTATTCGAGTTGCTAGCAAGATTTGTTTCCCTAAAACTAACTATTTTTCAAACATTCAACATTGCTGTTGATCATATTGATTGTTTTGGCC